AAAAATTAGCCGCAGTTGACAAATAAAAACCTATTTGCTTACTTGAAAATACGTAGCAAACTATTCAACAGCGCACAAATGTATATGTACCGAGGACGAAAAGACAGTTTATTCGTCAAACACTGTCCTTTTGATTATACCTTTTCGTCATCAAGTGATGTAATAATTTTCTAACTAGCTTCTAGGTAATAGGTGGCTTTTAATTCAGGGATTATTTTAGAAAGGGTGTCATAATTAAATAAAATGATAAAGGTAGTTTTTACAATTCATTTATTTAAAAAGTTCAATTGCAAACCAGCTTATGATATTGTTTCCAAATTCGAGTAAAATATGATGATGCAGATTATGCGATGATTATTTATATAGTACCCGTATATGTTTACACTGTACTACACACTGAACAAAAAATGTAAACGCCCCACGCAATACTTTTTAAAACTATCAGCATTATGAGTTTTTTATATATTAAATCATAAAAAGGGACTTTTGTTGTTCAATGTGCTACAGATTATTGTCCGTACTGTCCGTAGCTATATAGATTACTGTCCGTACTGTCCGTAGCTATATAGATTACTGTCCGTACTGTCCGTAGCTATACAGATTACTGTCCGTACTGTCCGTAGCTATACAGATTACTGTCCGTACTGTCCGTAGCTATACAGATTAGCCTACTGTCCGTACTGTCCGTAACTATACAGATTACTGTCCGTACTGTCCGTAGCTATACAGATTACAGATTCCGTAGCCCATTATATGTAATATAAATAATTCACACGTGACATTTATACTTTTGCTCAGTGTCTATATTTCAGGTATCTGTCCCAACTTTGAGGTGTTGCCAGGCTACGGTGAGGTGTGTGTGTCCCGGTCTATGGCCGAAAGCTGGGACCAGGCGGTGTACCGGTGTGCCAAGATGTGCGGACGGCTGTTCATGCCTAAAAATCCAACGGATGACCACGTGTTGGGAACGATACTGAACAGGTAATGGTTATATGGATTAGTTTTCACTTTTAGAACAAGCTTGTCTGTATCTGTTGTAATGACGTGTTTTATTTTCAAATAAGGTCGACATCCTTTCACTGCAATCTTTCAGAGGACGGGTCATTGATGTACGTTTACTAACGTGACTACAATGGATACAATTAAAGTCAATAAGATCTATAAGTCGTTCTTACTATGTGTGAAGTTTCAATGAAAAGTCAGTGTATGTGTTACTGGCCTTTTGGCATTTTCACGCTTCACTACTGGTACAAATTAAGTGTACTCTAATATCTATCCACGACATAGAATTTAGTAAAAAAATATAAAGATCCTTGGAGGAAAGAGCTTTTCATGACCCGTAAACCTATTGCATAATAATGAAAAACAAAAAAGTTACACACGTTTTCACGTATAGAACACAGACAATCAGTTTGTCTTGGACAGCTAAGTTAAACTATTATATATGTATTTTTTCTTAGTATATACTACCCCTGTATTTGATAACAATTGTTGATTTTAGAGAAGCTTCGACCATAGGACTTTCATCCAACAAGCGGGTATGGTTAGGCGCCTACAGTAAAAACGGCAGTGCCCCCGTCTGGTCGGATTCAACCCTGATGGAGAGACCTACCCTCGCGTTCACGTCGTCCAGGTTAGGCTGTTCGGCATTGACGGCATACGTAGAGCCCTACAGAAGAACGGAGGACTTTGTGGCCGGCAACTATTCTTGCATCGGGCCGGTAACGGGCCATAATTTTGTGTGTATGAGAAGTAGCAGCTACTCTGTACCAAAAGGTGGGAGAAAGTGTGATTGGAAAATAGGGCGGTGGTGGGGTTAGGTGTGTGCTCGCATACCTGCGTGCGTCCCTAATTGTGGGCGTGCGTGTCGGGTTGGGCGTGTAAGTCGTAAGTCTGCTGTGGATGCAAGGTGTTTGGTTTATTGTTATATACTGGTACCTGTGACATTAAGTTGATCAAAAGGCTAGGTGTTTAAATATTTTGTGCTATGAAGACAAGTTTATATAGTAAATAATTGGCAGTATCTGTTACGATGAAAAGTAAAAATTATCTTGATAATAAATATTTACTTACTGAGTGATTTTTACTATACCTGAGCAGTTGAAGGCAATCATTGCTCTAAGTTTTTGTCTATCACGTACCTCTATTATAAAATTCATTTTTTTAGATATGTAAAAATGAATTAAATTAAGTCACATTTCCTTTGCATATTTCATGTAGAGTGCCTAGTCGATAGCTGCCCAATAGATGGCGTTCAAACACAAGCTTACGCGTACTACGATCCGTTCTCCAACAACGCCACAGTGGAATGCAAAAGGGGACACATATTTCCAGATGGAACGAAAACTAAAGTACTAACCTGTGATAAAGGCAATTTTTTGGAAACACTTCCTCCTTGCATACGTAAGTGAGAATCATTCTTTTGACTCTTTCACGACAAGCGGACCTTTGAGAAAATGCCATCCTGTGACCCCCAAGAGGTACCGCTATCGGGATTCTCAGCAGGGCCTCTTTGAAGATGTTTTACAAACAAAACACATTAATTATATAACCTTACCCATAAAATTGTGATTTTATTAACTTTGTTCACGCACCTTAGTGTATATTTAAAAAGAAATTCCTTTGTTATAAAAAAATCAGTGCGTAAAGGAGGAGTTAACTTATATATATATATATATTAGATTTGTGGCTGTTCTAAGACAGGTAAACTTTTACGCTTGCAAGTTATCAGCGATTAACTATTTTACCCACACATTGCACAGAAAGGGTCCACATTGAAATACTAATAATTTCAATTAATTTTTTTTTTTGTTTTGATATATATATATATATATATATATACTGATCCACATTTCAGTAATTGATGAGTATCTGGCAAGTTTGCCACCGAACTGGTCAGAGGGGAAGCACATCACGGCGGCCACACTGGTGGAACCGGGGCCACGTGTGCCAGCATCAGGGACACCGTATCAGCCCCCAGTTATTGGTAGGTCCTCTTTTTTTACTGTCTTCAAATGGCATATAACAAGCAAATAGCAAACCCTAACTGCATACTAAGAATGTGCTAGTTGAGTATACTGTATTGCAAGCTCCGATATATAAACGAAGCAATCAGAAAGAAGTGATGGTCGAG